TCCTCTGCAATCACAAGAGCATAAGCAACCAAATTCCCTTCATTATTTCTTTTAGGCCGTTTGATTTCTCTTCTGGGTCTATCTCTAGCAATAGAATAGTCTTCACGACGGTCTAGTTTAGTGGAATCATGAACTTCCGAAGTGATCGGAGACGAGGAAATATTCTCCTCGCTAGAAGTTGGTATTTCAAACTCAATCTCCACCTTCTCGTCGGTGTTCTTCGAATCACCTGTGTCAGAAGAGGAAGAACTGACAGCTTCTTTTCCAGGGAGAATTAACACATCTTCATTAAAAGTAACATCCCTACTGATAATTACTTTCTTAAGTTCAGGACACCACAAGCGATACCCTTTCATACCAGATGCATAACCAATAGATATGCATTTTCGAGCTCTAGGCTCTAATTTTCCCTGATTTACATGTGCATATGCAGGACATCTAAAAATTTTCAAATTCGAATAATCAACAGAATTACCTGACCAAACTTCCTCTCGAATCTTGAAGTTGAGTGATGTGTGTGGGGAACGATTCACCAAATAACATGCGATAGATGCAGCTTCGGCCCAAAATTCTTTAGGCAAAGCAGCATTAGAGAGCATGCACGAACTCTCTCCATCAATATCCTGGTGCGGTGTCTCACAATTCCTTTATTTTCGCAGAATGTGTTGAAATCACCTCCACAAAATTCTAGACCATTATCGTCTTGAGTCGCTTGATTTTCTTCCCTGTCTGGTTTTCCATCAAAATCTTCCACTTCATAAAAGTGGAAAAAACTTCATCTTTGTGCTTTAAAAAATAAGCCTAGACTTTACGAGAAAAATCATTAATAATGGCTAGCATGTAACGATGCCCTCCTTTTGAAGAAACACGTGAGGGTCCCCAAAGATCTGAATGAATATAGTCAAGAGTACCTTTGATTCTATGAATTCCGGTACCAAAAGTTAATCTTTTCTGCTTACCGAGAATGTAATGTTCAGAGAACTCCAACCCACCGGTATTCTGACTGCACAAAAGACCTCTCTTGCTCAGGATGGTCATTCCTTTTTCACTCATATGGACAAGATGCATATGCCATAATTTTGTGACATTTGAATCTGACATAGATGATGATACAGCCGTAAAATTTGTAACAGTAGATCCTTGCAACACGTACAAGCTCCCAGATCTGTTAGCTTTCATTAAAATAAGAGCACCTTTAGAGACCTTTAGAACTCCACCTTCAGCTGCATATTTACACCCAAGGGACTCCAGGTTGCCAAGAGAGATAAGGTTCCGTTTCAAGTCAGGAACATGTCTAACACCGGTTAAAGTTCTAATCATGCCATCATGCATTTTAATTCTAATTGTTCTTTTCCAACAGCTTTGCACTGAGCATTATTCCCCATTAAGATTATTCCCCCATTAAGCAACAATACATCAATCAACATATTTCATAAGTGGTTAAATCCAATCTTATGAGGACCACATGTGATAGGAACAATCAGAATCTAGAATCCACTCTATTTTAGATCTAGTTCCAGAAATCAGTAAACAGAACAAACACTTCACTTCAGAAATCTTTTTGAGCAATACTTGCTTCAGCTGAATTTCTGAATTTCTTCCTAATATTTTTCCGCCCTTGCTTGCTGTCTTATTTTTCCAACTTAAGCATTCTGAAATTGCCATGTCCCTTTTTCTTGCAATAGCGACAAATTTCTTATTATCTCGGCCTCTAGACTTTGATCTGGATTTACTTCTACTGCTACTACCGTGATCCATAGTTCTCCCCCTAACAATTAATCCTTCAGCTTCATCCTTTGAATTATTCTCATAGTCATATTTTTCTTTTGACAAGAGATTTTATTTGACATCATTAAATGTTGGGGTCTCATTACAATCGCATAACATAATATCTTTAAAGTTACGGTATGACCGGGGGAGTGAGCAACCTAACAAAACAGCTTTATCTTCATCACTGATTTCAACATCCAAATTTTCCAAATCAATGACCTTAAGCTTTGCTAATCATCACATGACTATATATATTCTCAACAATCCCAATATTTTCCAAATTAAGTTACGGTATGACCGGGGGAGTGAGCAACCTAACAAAACAGCTTTATCTTCATCACTGATTTCAACATCCAAATTTTCCAAATCAACTATGATGGAATTAAACTCATCAAGGTGAGTTTGAATGGGTGTACCTTCGACCATCTTAATGGTATAAAGGTGCTCCTTGAGACAAATCTTGTTGGCAAGACTCTTCGTCATATACAATGACTCCAATTTAAGCCATAAACCTACAGCTGTATCCTCCTTGATAACCTCTCGCAGAACTTCTTTGGATAAACAAAGTTGGATTACTGATAAGGCTTTTTCATCCAATTCTTCCCAATCTTCATCCGACATGGTGTTCGACTTTTTCGCCTTTCTTGCAAGGGCCTTTTTCAACCGATGCTGGGTGAGAATGACCATCATCTGAACTCGCCAAATGCCAAAACTAATTTTTCCATCAAACTTCTCAACATCAAATTTCATGACAGAAGCCATGTTGTGAAATCCAAACGCTCCTGAATACTGCCTCAAAGACTTAACCAAAAATCTTTTCCATCAACTTCTCAACATCAACTTCATTCATGACATGAAAGATCCTTATCATGTTGCTGGAAATCCCACGAAATAATATTACAAGCGCCCTTCTGCACTACCCTGAGAATCTTGTTTTTATCTCTAGCGCGAATTCTTACGTGCTCCGGTATTCACTCTTTGTAGGCCGGAACTTAAAATCTATTTTAAGTTCGGTTCGGTAATCACTGCACTAGAAATTAAAATGAAGCGATTTGAGTCAAAAGTGAGAGTAATTCATGGGGAAATTATTCTATTGTACGACAACTATAAGTTAGTTTCATACACGCTTGGAAGACAACCTTCTCCGCATTATGTCAGATGGTGACAAATACAGAGTACTACAGAAAACTGGGCCTTTCCCATTGCGAGAGTCATAGGGCAATGCAAAGAGAGATTGAGCACTATGAACACCATACATTTGTTGAATGGATGAATACTTATATATTCTCTCATTTTTGTAAAATCTATCCACTACACCAAAAGAATTTGCCAGGTACTGACATAAGTTCTCATAGTTCACATGATGGTATACCATCCCCTCTGTTGATACACTGACATAGCTTCTAACCATGAACTCTTGGTCGTAAAGAGTTGGTCGTCATATTATATATCACTTTCTATCATAATGAACGTGGCACAATCAAACTTGGTCCTCGTAGTGTACATACTATAGTATAATACTTGTAATAGGCGTCTGCAGTAGACTTCTTAAAGTACCATCTAAACAAGTAACTGAGAGTGACCTACTAAGGTTTAGAGACTAGATTGCTCTGGGACTTTTATTCGGTGGAGCGCATTTTGCTCGGCTTAGCTTCTGAAGATTTGCTTGATATTTTTTGTCACACCCTTAAGTGTATGGTATGTTGTATCGATTAACGATCTTTGCTCTTACCTGAGAGCAAGCATTGCCCTTATAGTAGAGCATTAGTTCGTACTCCCACGATTCTGTTGCAACATGATTACTTATCAAGTCTATATCCACCTTCCGATTGTCTCTCTGATGGTAAACCAATGTGTCATCCTAGTCCACCAGTTAGCTTCACCAACCTTTAGATAAGACCATACTCATGTTCACACCAAATATTGGAATTTATTTCTCTTAGCTTTCAGCCTAAAGTCTTAGACATGTATCATACACGCAAGCTATTCTGACCTGAGACCTAGTCTAGAAAAACAAATGACTTTGGCCAACCAATATAGTACTTTAAAGTGGTGAAATCTGTCTTACAGACCTCTTCCCAACGAGCGCGAAAGCTCTTGGTGTTAAGAGCTTATGTGTGTAAACTTACCGCTTTTATTTCACCTTACAACTTTTAAAGATGATTTAACATAATCTCTGACCATCCTAATAAAAATATAACACACCGTAGTGCTTAATATTGTAGTATTATTCTATTATTATTTTCAGTAGGTCGAGTTCCTATAACGGCAAGTGTCTCAAAATCTATCTTTACACTCACATTGACCTTAAAGTACGCTATTGGCACTTGTATAATTAGAAGAATGCACACTAGAGAAGGTAGACGTAATTAATACTGAGTATTAGCTTTGCTGAATTTATTCCCTTTTCTGCATGCTGGACTTAGTTTCAATCGTTTTCTCTTGTAAAAGAAATGCTACTTCCTAAAGTATCTTGATAACGCACTTTAGTTTATTCTACATTTTTTGCCCACCAGGTTCCTAACGATTCTCTGTGTATTAAATAGAAAGAAAATTTGAAACAATAACATATTCACACGGTAACTTGAAAAAATAACCGGGCCGTGGTTTATGAGACATACACACAAAGATTAACACACTCGCTCTTACAGCAAACATATTTCCTAATATGTTTTGATATACACTCCCTTATGCCATTACCCTATTCTCACTGGTAAATCCCTGCTAAACATCCAGTGCAAGTAATTCTCAAATTTTGCTCCAAGCAAGATTGCCTTATATAGAAGTGTATCACGATGTGAACAAACTTCAAGTCTTCCTTCCATTGTTGAAAATGTGTCATCCTAGTCCAAGTTAGCTCACCAACATAGCCAACTAACATTGAATTTCCTTAGCCACTCAAAGACTAGTATTAACCATGAAAAACATGTGGCCAACCAATATAGACTTAAAGTGTGAATCTTAGAATTCCAAGGCAATTTTAACAGTTATATTATTAAATTAAATGAATTAATAATCTATACGAGTTTAAATTGTTATATTATTTATTTTTACGTACGAGTCCAAATTTTCACTGCTTAGCCTAGCTGTAAAAGAAATGAATTAAAATTGGTTAGTAAGTTGTTTCTGCCATGCTGGACTTAGTTTCATCGTCTCTTGTACGAAATGCTACTTCTTGTCTAGCTTAGTTTATTTAATTGCAATTCGATTTCTGTATAAATGAAAGAAAATTGAAACAATAACATACGGTAACTAATTAAGGGCCTGTTAAAACACCAAGATTACAATCCTGCAAACATTCTAATTTATACTTCTGCCATAACTCACTGGTAACCAGCAAGATTCTCAATCCTGTGAGCCAAAAAACAGTATTTTATTTATTATCAGGAGAAGGCATTTGATTGAGGACTGGTCAGAACAATCTAAACCTCGTATGCCATGCCTACTTTGAGTAATTGCTTGCGAGGAATCAGAAAAGCTTCATCAGGTTGTTTCACAGTCCAGCTTAACCAGTTGTAGAGATAATCTATAGTGAATTTCTTAACCCAACTAGACCCATTTGCAGCCACAACTTCACCTTCACCCATCAAATAAACAATACCATCTCTTAAAGCTTTATCAACCAAAGCCATTTCCCTCTGCATATCTTCTCCGCCATTATTGCTATTATCTTCTTGAATAAATTCCCTCAGCTGATTGGCAAACATTTCCTCGAATAGAGCCTCTTGATCCTTTCTTGAATCTGCATATCCGTATCTCACAACACATCGAAATATTAATTCTCCTGGCTTTACTCTTTGAAACAGAAACCTTTCTTCTGCAGGAACTTTACTAATATGCAGAAACTTAATGGAAACAAATACAAGAACTGAATGTAAAGCTGGAACACTTGACACATAACGAGGGAATATAGGAGATATGCCTTGAACAAGCGGAGTATAGAATAAACCAAGACCATCCATTCGATGGATTCTTGTGTTTGAGACTATATCAGTAAGTTTTTCAACTCCAATATTATTTTCCAGCTCGTAAATGTATTTTTTTCTATATCCATAATTCCATATGAACATGACAGAGACCAGAACAAAGGCTAAGCATAAAGGAAGATATCCTCCATCAGCAAACTTGTACAGTGAAGAACTCAAATACAACAATTCTATTAAACCTACGGTTAATATGTAGATGATTATGATAATTATATTTGTATTCCATATCATAACCATAACAAGAACATTCTTATGACTTTAATATATTTAATCTGTGTATTGCGCATATTCTAAGCTCATAAACACATCATTTACAAAAACATTAGGAAGCATTATGTATGAGGGTGTTAGTATATTACACAATAGTCAATATGATTCAACAAGCAATATCCGTAAGTCTTAGTATATAAGAAATGAATATCATGAATAACAATACATATGATGATAGGGAATTTAAAATTGCATATTAACTCCATAAGATAGATTAAATATACCTTAAATTATAAACTTTTGACCACATTTGAGAAATGTCACTCCTCTTAACCTGAGTTTTGAATAGGCATCGCTTTCCGCTTTGAGTTAGACCGACCAATTCTTAACGATAAGAATTCCTTATCCGCTTAACAAGACTAAACCAAGCTATATTTTCATACTCACCGAACAGTCGATTGATAATAGGACTACATCGTTGCCGACATATAATTGTCCGCTAACTATTATAATCTAGCAGTATATGCACTTTAATGAGAACAAAGGTAATCTTGAACATTGCGCAAGGAAAGACATAACCAAGTTACCTTCGGACTCTATGAATTGGAATCTTATGCGAAATGGAGTAATGAGCCATTAATGCACTCAAGACACTATTGAGAATTTTAATTCTGTAATTAGTGATGCGTTCTAAAATAGATGGACTCTGGCCGAGCACCATGACTAGATAGAACTGCATACAAAACTGTTGGTCCATCATACAAATTACCTCTGTAATCTTTCGCATAAACTCTTTCTGTAAATAACGAGAACTCTTCCTCAATTATTGATGAATAGGTATTATATATATAAATAAACACTAAAAAATTAACAAACACCAAATATTGCGCTCTCATTAGACTATGTACATTTGATATTAACAGCTACAAGTAATAAAAATATAAACGAAACTTAGTACGCTATTCTAACTTAAACGCTTTAGTGAGCACATCCTAAGCTAGAAAAATAATACATATTGACGCGTTGTTTTTGTATGTCAAGGTAGCGAGAGAGCTATAAAATGCGAATGTTTGCACTCAACACAGTCGAGGAAAACCTTTGGTGCCATATTTACTGCGAAGGATAGGAACATTGGCCAAGATTTAAGGCAAGCAAATACAGAGGGAACTGCCCACTGTGACTAAGTTGGGTTCCACAGCACACTGCCACTAGCTTTCTATTATTGTACTCGTAAATTTATGAGTTGAATGTTGAATTTGGATGATCATACCAATACTCTCTAGCAACCAAATGTATAAGGACTCTATATCAAAGAATAGGTGACCCGTACACAGTCACTCAAAAATGACAGCCTGGTTAGCTAACATATCTCAAGTAAGGAAATACCCACAATGCGATTCTTCTTTATCTATTCCCTTTGAAATACCTGTATAACAATTGCTTCTTATAATTACTCGTTGATTGAGAGGAGGGAGTCACTTGTGTCAATAGCTCGCTATGTTGGAGTCACTCTCATATGGATAAGCAAGATATCGCGGAATCAAACTCTCACTTATACCAACTCTGCAATCTGAATTGGGAATAAGCCAAAAAAAAAAACCAAAATCCATAATGTTTGAATTACCAGTAATAAAATATTACGAAACAGAGTACTAAGAGAACGTTTAGTGAGCTACAAGAGAAAATAATACTGACTTGGTATTGAGCTATAAAATGCATTTGGAACATGAGAACTGTTTTTGCGAAGATAGGAACATTGGCCAAGATAGGCAAGCAATACAGAGGGAACCAGTATAACACAACTGCTCAGTTGAATTGAGCGAATGTTGAAATGACCCAAATCAGCAAACAGAGCTTCAGAACCCGTAAGGCATAAAATGACACCTCCAAGAGAAATCCAAGCATCCTTTTTATTCCTTTGAAAATACTGTATAATGTATATCGGATTGAGAGCTTTGATTGTGCTTGGGTCATGCTTGAAGAAGTTGAAAACCCCAATAAATGCAATCAAAACAAGCCATAGTGCAAGAATTGGAGCAAAACTGTACCCAACTTTATGTGTTCCAAATCTTTGAATTTGAAACAAGACAATCAAAATCGCCACTGAAATCCACATTATTGCGTCTTGTTCAAGGCCAGGTACAGCCAATTTAAGACCTCCCACAGCCGATAGCACTGCACCCACAAATTCAAATACTTTTATAACTTCATTTTGACAGGGATGATCATTTTTTTTTCTCTCTTTTTATCGGTCAATATTTAATTACCAGATATGCAAGGTGTGAGAATTCCATCTCCAAGGACCATGGACACACCGAGCATGGTTGTGATCAGAAGAACGTACTTCATTATATGGCTATTTTCTAGCCATGATTTTAGATATGAAGCCATTGTTGATGCATCAGAGTTATAGATGGAAGCTTCTGTATCCTGTGACTGCTGAGTTGGTATCAAACTCACCCTGACATGTCGGCATATCAAAGAATACAGAGCAAATGTCCCTCCTGCAAGTGACAAAATTTAAGAAGATCATTTACATATATATTTCTTGCTTGGTTTTTGGAAAGTTATTATTTACAGTATGAAGCTTACCACCTCCATTATTGTTTGCAGACATAACGATAAACACATACTTAATCAGAGTGATGACAATAACGGAGTAAAAAATCAAAGATAAAACACCAAGAAGATCATCATTGTGCTTTATCCCATTTTGGAAAACCCCAGGTAACACATACAGTGGAGAAGTAGCCAAATCGCCATAAACTACACCTATGCATTGGAATGCAAGCTTTAAAACAGTTCTCCAATCTTCTACCTGCATACCCAACAGTTGTAAATTAATGAATTTCCGAACTCAAAACAATCATAAATAAAATATTCTGCCATAATCTCTGCTCTTTTAGGAGACTTTGCACTTATGCTTTTAAAACATGTTCTCACAACTTTTTCTGACGTATTCCTCGCATACCTCCAACAGTTCTGCTATAATTTAATAGAATATATCCTGACACTCTAAAACATCATTTCCATAAAAATAAAAATATTATCCAACTAAATAGAGTAGATTTTCATGGAGTAAAGATAATATACAAGGAGAAGACGAATGTCCTCATCGTTATACTTTGGGGATTAGGGATGTTTCCCTATAAGGATGTTCGTAAATTTTAAGTTGGCCATTCCAAAACCTCTACAATTGAATCGAGATAGCGAAATTCTGATGATAAGCTGCTCAAAACAATCATAAATAAAATATTCTGAGTTCATGTAAGTTAAAGAAACCAATTACCTGATGGTTTCTATAAGAGCTATTGGTTCCACCGGCCTCCATATCGAACAAGTCTTTTTCTTTTTTAACAGGGCCACTCCCTTGTCGTTGTTCTGCCCCTCGTTCTTCCATCTCCGACATTGTTTTTTCAAGAACGTTATGGAGTAGAATCACTCAAATTTCACAGGCTAGTTTATTTTGCTAACATACCAATATATAGAATAATAGAAAGCGCGTTTGCATATTATGATAATATGATTGGTTCTAATAAGTTTCTAGATTGGATGCAGTGTTTCTAAACCCCGGGAACCCGAGGATTTTTTTTTGTCTGTTTTTTTCTGTATACATAGGACATTTGTGGGTTGTTTATCATTTTCTAAATTGTCATGTGATTGCCATGCGTCTATTTGGGCTACTATTATGACAGTTACTAGAGTTTGAATAAGTCTTGTCACTGTTATTTGTTTCCTTTAATTTTGCTAGCAGTGCATTTTAATAGGGAAATTAGTTTGAGTTGTGCTTATAAATAACCAGTTATCAATAAAAAGGGGATAACTCATTATTTGTCTTTTATTCTCTGTGAGAATCTTGGAGGTCTGGTTTTCCTCGAATTAAACCAAAGCTATTACGCTTTATTTTCTACTAAAATACTATAGGTAAACACAAGTACCACCAGTCTAAAAGAGATCCTTTTCCTCTTCATAAACCCATAACCAGGTCCCAGACTCAGGCACGTGACAGCTTGGTATCAGAGCCAAGCATGGAAGAACAAAGATTGGGGCGCTTAGAAAGTGAAGTCACAGCTTTGTGTACTAGCCAAGAAAAAATAAGAACAAAGATTGGGGCGCTTAGAAAGTGAAGTCACAGCTTTGTGTACTAGCCAAGAAAAAATATTGAAGGAAGTACAAGACATGTTTGCTTCCATGAATGCTAGGTTGGATGCTCTAACAACTACTCATGCTATGGAGAGCTCAATTGGTCCAAGCAAAAATTCATCTATCAATCATGAAGGTAACTCTCATGGCAATTGGGTTCCTAAACTGGTGAAGTTAGAATTCCCACGTCATAATGGGTCCGAGGATCCAACTGGATGGGTTTGCAGGGCTGAGCAATTTTTTGAATTTCATCGAGTTCCAGAGTAAGAATGGGTAATGTTGGCTTCCATTAATCTTGAAGATGTGGCACAAATGTGGTTTCAACGGATGAAGAAGGAGACGCCACTCATTACTTGGAGGGATGTCAAATAGGGATTGTATATAGTAGGTGTGGTCCTACTCAATATGAAGATTTTTTTAGAGACTTAATCGAGTTACAGCAAACTTCTTCTGTTCAAGAGTACCAAAACCAATTTGAAAAATTATTGGCTCGCATTGAGCCACTAACACCTACACAGTAAGTCAGTTGTTTTGTGAGTGGCCTTAAGGAAAATGGCCTTAAGGAAAATATCAAAACTGACGTCCAAGCTTGCAGGCCAACTACCCTCACATCTGCCATCGGCTTAGCAAGATTGTATAAAGCAAAATATCGGACCCTTAGTCGTGCCCCTCAACTAGAGGTAGCAAAACCTGTAACTAATTATTCTGCTCACACTCCTCCTTCAAGCCATATTCCTATAAAACAGCTTACTCCTGCCAAGTTAAAAGAGAGGAGGGAAAAGGGATTATGCTTCAATTGCAATGAAAAATTTGGGCCAGGCCATAGCTGCAAGAAATTATTTCTCATTGAAGGATGCTGGCCAGAAGAAGACCTCGAAGATGATGTCGAAATGGAGATTGAAGACCAAGATGGAGGTACAGAGACACCTGAGATTTCTGTACATGCTATATCAGGTGTGAGGTTGCCGCAAACGATGCAGGTACAAGGTAGGATCAAGAACCGTCGAATTATAGTTCTGATTGATTCTGGGAGTACCCACAATTTCTTAAGCATCCGCGCCGCAGAACAAAATTGGAATCACTCCAGTTTTAAAAGAAAGGTTCGATGTGACTGTGGCTAGTGGAGACAAAATTCCTTGCATGGGGCGTTGTAAAGGGGTATGTATGATGATTCAAGGAATTTCAGCTATAATTGATTTTATTTGATTCCTTTGGAAGGATATGATGTAGTTTTGAGCGCTCAATGGCTTAGCACCTTGGGACCAATTATATGGGATTTTTCTAAAATGACCATGCAGATAGAGATGGAAGGAAAGCAGATTACCCTCAAGGGCTTAACTGTTCCAGCGAATAAATTAATAGGTGAGTTTGAAATGGCAAGAGAATTAAAAAAGAAAAAAAGGGGTTTTTGCTTATAGATATCTTCCCTTTCCATGGATCATGTAAACACCCTTAACCCACCCAATTCTTATCTGCCAGATCTAACAAATATCCTTGAAAAATACAAAAAAATATTTGAACAACCCCAAAGTCTACCACCAACCCGAGCCCATGACCATAAAATACCACTCAAACCCAACATCTCACCCATTTGTGTTAGACCTTATCGTTATCCCTATTACCAAAAAAAAAAAGAGATTGAGAAAATGGTGTCAGACATGCTAGCCACAGGGTCATTCGCCCTAGCCAAAGCCCATATTCATCACCTGTGTTGTCAGTCAAAAAGTTTGATGGCTCGTGGAGATTTTGTGTTGATTATAGAGCCTTGAATGCAGCCACCATTAAAGACAACTTTCCCATTCTAGTAATTGATGAGCTAATAGATGAACTATATGGAGCTAAATTTTTCACTAAATTGGATTTGCGTTCTGGCTATCACCATATCACCAAATCCGGATGCACTCTGATGATATTTACAAGACAGCGTTCCGGACACATCATGGCCACTATGAATTTTTTGTGATGCCTTTTGGACTTACAAATGCCCCATCCATTTTTCAATCTCTGATGAATGAGGTATTCAAGCCCTACCTTCGCAAATTTATTCTGGTTTTCTTTGATGATATTTTAATCTATAGCAGAACCTGGGAGGAACATTTAAAGCATCTTGATCTCACCTTTAAAATTCTAGAAGCCCATGAGCTATTTATCAAGCAGGAGAAGTGTGACTTCGCCCAAAAGGAAGTTAATTACTTGGGCCATGTGATTTCAGCAAAAGGAGTCTCGGTGGATCCAGATAAAATAGTTGCAATTAAGGAATGGCCGATACCAATAACTATTAAGGCGCTGCGGGGGTTTCTTGGTCTAACCGGTTATTACCGAAAATTCATTAAAGATTATGGAAGGTTAGCTGCTCCACTTACACAAACGTTGAAGAAAGGAAATTTCCAGATGAGCTCAAGAGCAGTACAAGTAGTTGAACTCCTAAAGAGGGTGATGACACAAGCACAGGTTCTGGCCCTCCCTGACTTCAATAAAACATTTATGGTGGAGTGTGATGCATCTGGAGCTGGTGTGGGAGCAGTCCTTATGCAAGAACAGAGACCAATTGCATTTTATAGCCATGCTCTCTATGGTAAAAATCTACATTTATCAACTTATGATAAAGAAATGTTGGCCTTGATTTTGGTAGTTCAGAAATGGAGACCTTATCTGCTAGGGAGAAAGTTCGTAGTTTGCACAGAGCAAAAAAGCCTAAAGTATTTTGGGAACAAAAGATAAGTACCCTAGCTCAATAAAGATGGCTTGTCAAATTGATGGGGTATGATTTTATTATTGAATATAAGAAGGGGAAAGAAAATCAAGTTGCAGATGCTTTATCGCGCGTTCATGAAGTAGACAGTGGATCATTTGCTCTCTCCATGCCTATTCCTACTTGGCCGGAGACCATTAAAGAGGAAATCAAAAGCAACACAAAAGCTCAACACCTGGTGGCCCTATGCAAGCAAAGGGAAGCAGTGGGTCCATGGGAGTTTAAAGACGGTATTCTCTACTTTAAAGATAGAATTTATTTGCCATCTGACTCTTCTATAGTTCCTCTTATTGTTAAGGAAATGTAACATCCTACTGAATCGAATCGTTCATCCTACTGAATCGAAATTCGTTGCAATCGAATCGTTGCATAGAGTCGAGTCGAGTTGGGCCGAACAAGAACCCGGTTCGAGCCATTTAAATCCAGAGTGGTTACTTGAATGAAACAAAAAGATCAAAGTATAAGGAGTAGGACTTACTTGCACTAAAATATAGAGTTTAGGTATTAAAATGTAACATAGGGAAAATATAGGTACTATCTGGTAATTTTAACATACAATTAAAGAGATGGTTGGAGAGTACACGAGACTTTCATTTCATTTCCCTTTCTTCATCTTCATCTTCAACGTCTTCTTCATCTTCATCTTCCTCTTTATCTCCTTCATCTTCTCTTCATCTCCTTCCTTTCTCCATCCATTTTCATGTGATTTAAACACTAAATTCAACCTAGAACTCTATCCAAGTAAGTAGCCTTTCTTAAATTTCATACTTTTGTGATATTTTAGATTGATTTCTAAGAGTTATTATGTATAGGAAGGGGAACTCAAAGTGGAAGAAAAGGAACTAGAGAGGATTAAAGCTCTTTTGGTTGAAGGTTTGATTATTTCTTTTGTTTTCAACATTTTCTTTGCTGAAAACTTGTGTACTGTGTTGATAATGAAAACATATATTGCTGAATGTGAATTAGAAGGTCTGTTAAATGGTGATAAGCATGGGATGATTGAATGAATGAGTAGATATTGATTTCACATGCCTGACCCAGTTGTTGGACCATTGACCAGACATCACCCTGATTTTGACTCTGTTTAACGATGGAATTAGGAAAGTGTATAGAGAGTTTATTTTGTTCCTCTATGTTTTTAATTGTCCATTGAGTTTTTGAATCACTATTTGGAGTTATAAATGAGAGATATGACGCAAAATAGTACAGACTGGCCAGGCTGGAAACAGTCTGGACGGACTGGAAGTTGCTCATTTTGGTAAATATTTGCCTACCTTACCAACGTAATTAAGAGATGTGGTAGAAGACAAATTTGTAGCCTAATGTGTTAGCTAACCATAGAAGGTAGAATCACCTAAATTGGAGTTATATATTGAGATCTGTGACCAAAATAGTATAACTTGTGCAGGCTGGAACCCAACAGCAGGGCAAACTGATAGTTGCTACTTGAGCTCAATGTTTGACTACCTTACCAACGTAATTAAGAGATGTGGTAGAAGACAAATTTGTAGCCTAATGTGTTAGCTATGTGTTATGCTAACCATAGAATGGTAGAATCACTAAATTGGAGTTAATAAATTGGAGAGATATACCAAAATAGTATAACTGGGCAGGCTGGAA